CGCCGTCAAACCAAAATCACGACGGGAGCCGCTCCGCTGTGTTCGGCTTCTGGGGCTCCCTATACCTGGGCCTCGGGGCCGTCGAGGGACGACTCCGGAGGCAAAACAGCCGGCCCCGGGGAAGAACAAACCAGCCCCGGGGAAGGGGCCCAGATCTCTGTGGGGCCGACGCTGTGACAGCAACACGACGTCGGGGGACTGGGCACCTGGACCGCTCCCAGGTCCAAGCTGGCCATCGCTCGGACGTCCATTCCCTGTGTTTTTTTTTCGGTTGCGTGCGTGGCTTTTTCGCCAGATGATCAAGGATGCTCCTCGATGGCCCTCGCCGAGAAAAAACACGCACACGTCCGAGCGATGCCAGGGACGCTGTGACAACAACACGACATCGGGGGACTGGGCACCTGGACCCCTCCCAGGTCCAAGCGCACCGGCTTCTCCCGAGCTGCGCCCTGCAGCGGCGGCGAGAGGGGGCCCCCGCGGGGCAGCTCGCCCTCCGTCCGGCTCGCGCGGGCAGCTCGGGCGCGAATGTGCGCGCCGCCGTCTCGACTCGTTCGCTGCTGTCCGCTGTTGGGCCCCCCATCTCTGGTGCGCCCGGTGCTCGTTCTGTTGAAGTGCCTGCCCCTCCCGAGGTTCGGGCCCTGCTTTTCAGGGTCGGAAGTCTTGGGCCTCCTCAGACTGCGCCTCTGGCCCTCCTCCTCCTCCTCCTCCTCCTCCTCCTCCTCCTCCTCCTCCTCCTGCTACAACAGCAACATCCGCTCCCGCCTGCTATGTCTTCACAAAGGATATCGTGCTCTTGCGGGGGCCGTCCATACGTTTTGTGCAAGAACCGCGCTCTCGCGTGGGACTTCCTCGCAGTGTATCGACTCGCCGCGCCTCCGACATCCAGGAATCACGCTCACGCGCTGGATTTTCCCCACGGTTTACTGGGGAACCGCGCTCTCGCGAAAGGCTTCCTCGCGATCCTTGAACGATTGACGCTTCAGCGACCCGCCCGCTTCTGCCGCTTGCACTCCTGTTCCTAAAACCCCCTTCTGCTAAGCTCTCTCGTGCTCCATCCTTCTACCTCCCCCTTGTCCCTTCCCTCCTCCCTCCCTTCCCCCGACCTAGGAGCTGCGCCAATTTCTCGTGGCAGATAAAGAAGATACACCCCTCAGAAGGGGTACGATCGAAGACGACGAGGGCGGGTACGATCGACGACGACGAGGCGACTAGACAAAAGCGAACAGTCTTAGAATGAGTATTGTTGAGCTCTCACTTTGGCAGAATGCATATTGTTGACCCCCCTCCTGGGGCTCGCACAGGCTTTTGATCAGGGAAAGTCTCCGTGCTCAAACTGTGCCGCCAGCCCCCCAGCTGCATCAACAAAGGCTACCGCCTGACTTCCTCACAGTGTATTCCAAAATCGCGCTCTTGCGGGGGAAGTACTTGGGGGCTTCCCAACAATGCACGCAGGAATCGCGCTCTCGCGTGGGATTTCCCAACTATGTTTTCAAGCGCCGCGCCCTCGACACGCAGGAATCACGCTCTCGCTTTGGCCTTTCTCACGATGCACTTGGGAATCGCGTTACGCTCGAGACTTCCTCCCGATTCATGCAAGACCCACGCTTCAGCAACCCGTCTGCTCGACCTGGCCACATGCGCCTGCCTTCCCGACCCGCCCGCCAGGGTCTACCCGCCCGATCTGCCCGTCTGGTTCTGCCACTTGCTTCCTGCTCCTGGCCCCCTCCTGCTAATGTCTCTCGTGCTCCATCCTTCTCCCTCCTCCATATATCCGTCCTCTCTTCCCCCGCTTCAGAGCTGCGCTCAATGCACGTGGCAAGTAAGGAAGATATACCCCAAAGGGGGTACGATCGAAGACGAAGAGGGCGGGTACCAAGGGCTTGGAATATGCGTGGCGAATGGCACGCCAGCAGATAGGCGCGAACAGTCTTACTCGTATTAGTGTTGTTGGTGTTGGTGTTGGTGTTGGTGTTGGTGTTGCTGCTGATGTTGTTGTTGCTGCTGTCGTTGTTGCTATGGTGGAAGTTGTTACTGTGGGTGGTGGCGGTGGTGGTGGTGGTGTTGTTATTGTTGCTGTTGTCGTTGTCGTTGTCGTTGTTGTTGTTGTTGTTGTTGTTGTCGTTGTCGTCGTTGTCGTTGTCGTTGTCGTTGTCGTTGTCGTTGTTGTTGTTGGTGGTGTTGTTGTTGTTGCTGTTGTTGTTGTTGTTGTTGTTGTTGTTGTTGTTGTTGTTGTTGTTGTTGTTTGGTGTCGTTGTTTGTTGTTGTTGTTTGTTGTTGTTGTTGGTGTTGTCGTTGTTGTTGTTGTTGTTGTTGGTGTTGTTGTTGTTGTTGTTGTTGTTGTTGTTGTTGTTGTTGTTTGTGTTGGTTGTTTTTTGTTGTTTGTTGTTTGTTGTTTGTTGTTTGTTGTGTTGTTTGTTGTTTGTTGTTTGTTGTGTGTTGTGTGTTGTTTGTTGTTTGCTGTTTGTTGTTTGTTGTTGTTGGTTGTTGTTGTTGTTGTTGTTGTTGTCGTTGTTGTCGTTGTTGTCGTTGTTGTCGTTGGCGGTGGTGGCCGCTTCCTTCCGTCGCTCACCTGGGGCTCCTCGCTCCGCGCGCTGTCGGCAGCGGCCCCGCCCGCCGCGCTGCCCTTGGCGAGCTCCTGCAGCGGCAGCCCCAGCTCGAGCGCGCCCAGGCTGGCCTTCCGCCTGCCGACGATGCCCTTCTCGGACACGAAGCCAGGACGGGGACAGACTCGGCGCGGGCTGCCCAGTAGGAGGAGGAGGAGGAGGAGGAGGAGGAGGAGGAGGAGGAGGAGGAGGAGGAGGAGGAGGAGGAGGAGGAGGGGGAGGAGGACGAGGAAGGGGAGGAGGGAGGAGGAGGAGGAGGAGGAGGAGGAGGAGGAGGAGGAGGAAGAGGTGAAGGAGGTCCCCACGCGTGGTGCGAAGAAGTTGCGCTGGGAAAGCCTCCCTCTCTCGATGCCTGGCCCCCCCGGGGCTCGTGCAGAACCCAAGCCCGGCACAGATCGGGCCAGGATGAAGAAGCGGCCCCATGGAAAGGCCCGGGGCTCGCGGGGACCGAGCACTGAATCGTGCTGACCCAAGACTCTTGGGAGCGGCCAAGAGGGGGGTGTCCAAGAGGGGGGGGTGCAAATCATGACCAGCGGCATGTGCGCGGCCCAGCGGGGGGGCCAGGGACGTAATGAAACAAGAAGAAAGGCGCCATGAAATCTGGGGAAATATCATGGCCCCCGCCATGATATCCACCCCCCCTAGTCATCACCCCCCTCTTTTCTGCCCCCGAGACTCTGGACTCGGGACGCGGGACGGCGACTTGGCCAGGATCGTGCGGGTCCACGCCTGCTGCGAGACACACCTGTCCACGCCTGCTGCGATATACACCTGGCCAGGATCGAGCTGGCGCCCTCCAGGGGACTGACCCCGAATCGGGGAAAGGCTCGGGACTCACGGGGACTCAAGATATCGCATGTCTGAGAGCGTTCCGGAACGCTCTGGAAGGATCTGGCCCAGAGCTCCGCGCGGATGCGCCGGAGGCGCCGACGGGGGGGGTCCAGCGCCGGTCCGAGGGAAATCCGCGCGGAGCTCCGAAAGTTTATGCTTACCCGTCGGTCGGAAGACGTGGGTAGAAGCATGAAGTAGGAAGGCGTTAGAATTAGATTGGGCTTCCGCCGCCCCCTGAAAAGGAGGGACGAGGGGAAACTGCTCGACTCTGGAAGTAGCGAGGCGGCTGAAGTAGACTGGGACCTGGCAGTCCAGAAATACCCACTGCCAACGCCCAGCGTGCGTGCCGTTCTGGCTCCTCCAGCCCTGGCTCCGCCCGACCTTCTCCTCCAGCCTCCTCCAGGAGGCGGCGCGCTGCACCGTCAGCTCCGCGCCGCCGTCGCCGTCGTCGTCGAGGCCGCCGCCGTCGCTGCTGCTGCTGCTGACCGCCGCCTCGCAGGGGAGGCCGGCCGCGTCCAGGGCCTCCCCGAGCGTGCCCTTCGTGCCCAGCGCCTGGCGGCCCCAAAGGCGGCCCCGCGGGCGGCAACGACGACGACGTGGGCGGCGACGGCGGCGGCGGCGGCGACAACGGCGACGACGACGGCGACGACCACGACGACGACGGCGACCACCACGACGGCGACCACCACGACGGCGACGACGGCGGCGGCGGCGCCGATGGCGGCGGCAACGACGACGGCGGCAGCGGTCAGGGCGGCGGCGGTCAGGGCGGCGCCCGCGGGGGCGAGGGCTCGGGGGACGCCCGCGGGACGCCTCCGTGGGCCGCCTCCGAGGAGGGGAGAGGAAACGGCATACAGTCGGGGCGTTGACCTAAGGGACCCGAAGTAAGGAACGGTGCCCCTTTTCTCCACACGTTGGACTTCGATTTCCCGTGGAAAACCAGGGAACCTCTGAGGCAAACTGCGAAACAACAAAGGAACACGGAGCCCCTCCCCAACAAAAGTGGTTCCTTTTTTCAGCGCCCCGACTGTAAGGCAGCTGGGACGCGGCAGGACACGCCGGCAGGAGGTGTCCCCCCTTTGGGAGGCCTGCGCCCGGCCATATATATATATATATATATATATGTATATATATACATATATATATATATATATATATATATATATATATATATATACTAGAACCACGCGCGCGCTTCGCGCGCGCTTAGGTTCTAGCTAATTAGGATCGTCACCGTCGATCTGCGGCGGCGGGGGAAGGCCCCGAAACGAAGAAAGCCCCGAACCGCACCACCACCACGACGAAACGGCCCCCGCCCAAAACGTCCAAAAAGCATTTGTTTTGGTTGTTGCGTCGCCAGGAGTTCTGGGCTCCCTCCTCCTCGTGTTCCTACCTCCTCTCTGGACGTCCGATGTCGTGATGTTTTCTGTGCGCGGCCCCTGGACCTCTCGACGACTTCCTAGGGATGTTTTTTTTTTTTCATCCAGAGTCGTTTTCTGACGGTCCCGGGACCCTGCGAGGGGCCCCGGAGGCCGAAAATTGACAAAAACCGCCGTCGTGATTTTTCCAAGACGTCGGAGGTCCAGGTCGTGCTTCCCGCCTCCCCAGACCTCCGACGTCGTAATTTTTGCGACCTCGGGCCCAGGAATCGATTGGGAAAACGCACATGGGAAGGCAAGAAATGATGGACCCATCATTTCGTACCTGTGCCTTGATCAGTGGGACGGGCTTCGCACCGCCGCACATCACAAGACACGCTCCAGCGGATCCAGCCATGGCGACGTCGGGGACTGCAGAAAGTCGCAAGGACACGGAATCTGAAAGGAAGAGAGAGAAAGATAGAGAGAAAGAGAGGGAAGAAGGCCAGAGAGCGCTGAAAGATACAAATACTGGAACCCTCTTGGGATTTTTTGGGGGGCCTCGTCCGGCCGCTCGCTGGGAGTTTGACGTAGCTTCTCGGGAGCCTCTGAACCTGTCGGGGGCCTCCTGGAAGCAGGTTCGAAGCATTTGGGGGGCCGATTTGGGGCTTCTCGGGGCCTCCTTTGGGCCTCTTGGGGGTCTCCTGGGGCCTCTTGAGGGGCCTCCTTGGGGCCTCCTGGCGGCCTCTTGGGGCGGAAGGCTCGAGCTTGCGGTTCGTGGTCCCCCTCTGGGCCCCCTCTTGGGCCCGTTTCGGGGCCCTCTTGGGCCATCTTGGGCACCTCTTGGGCCGCTTTGGGGTCCTCTTGGGCTGTCCTGGGGCCCTCTTGGAAGCTTCTTGGGCCGTCTTGGGGCGGTCTTGGGCGCCTCTTGTGCCGTCCTGTAACGTCGGAAAGCCCAAAAGGCGACTTTGTGAAACATGTACGTTTTACGAAGGGAATGGGTCAATTTTTGCGTCTAGGTGCCCTCTTGGGACGCATGTTGGAGGCTTCTTGGGGCGTCTTGGGGGCGTCCTTGGACGTCTGGGGTCTCCTGGGGCCTCTTGAGGGGCCTCCTGGGGCCTCCTGGCGGCCTCTTGGGGCGGAAGGCTCGAGCTTGCGGTTCGTGGTCCCCCTCTGGGCCCCCTCTTGGGCCCGTCTTGGGGCCCTCTTGGGCCATCTTGGGCGCCTCTCTTGGGCCGTCTTGGGGCCCTCTTGGGCTGTCCTGGGGCCCTCTTGGAAGCTTCTTGGGCCGTCTTGGGGCGGTCTTGGGCGCCTCTTGGGCCGTCCTGTAACGTCGGAAAGCCCAAAAGGCGACTTTGTTGAAAATGTACGTTTTACGAAGGGAATGGGTCAATTTTTGCGTCTAGGGGCCCTCTTGGGACGCATGTTGGAGGCTTCTTGGGGCGTCTTGGGGGCGTCCTTGGACGTCTGGGGTCTCCTGGGGCCTCTTGAGGGGCCTCCTGGGGGCCTCCTGGCGGCCTCTTGGGGCGGAAGGCTCGAGCTTGCGGTTCGTGGTCCCCCTCTGGGCCCCCTCTTGGGCCCGTCTTGGGGCCCTCTTGGGCCATCTTGGGCGCCTCTTGGGCCGTCTTGGGGCCCTCTTGGGCTGTCCTGGGGCCCTCTGGGAAGCTTCTTGGGCCGTCTTGGGGCGGTCTTGGGCGCCTCTTGGGCCGTCCTGTAACGTCGGAAAGCCCAAAAGGCAACTTTGTGAAAATGTACGTTTTACGAAGGGAATGGGCCAATTTTTGCGTCTAGGGGCCCTCTTGGGACGCATGTTGGAGGCTTCTTGGGGCCTCTTGGGGGCGTCCTTGGACGTCTGGAGGCCATCTTCAGCATCTCGGAGCCCTCTTGGAGGCCTCTTGGAAGTTTCTTGGGCCGTCTTGGGCGCTGGGCCGTCTTGTCTGACCGGGGAGGCCTCCGGCAAGCCCCGACGAGCCTCCGGGCCCCCCGGGGTGCACATTTGTGGTCGAGGTCCCGGCCCCGGGCCCCCGGACCCGGTGCGCCGTTATATGTATATACAGGGTGGCTCCGGAGAGCCCTGTGGGGGTGACGCGCCGTCTCCTCCTCCTCCTCCTCCTCCTCCTCCTCCTCCTCCTCCTCCTCCTCCTCCTCCTCCTCCTCCTCCTCCTCCTTCTCCTCCTCCTCCTCCTCCTCCTCCTCCTGGTCCTCCTCCTGGTCCTCCTCCTCGACGCGCACGTATACCTGAAGCATGCTTTTGAGTGGAGCCTGCAAACCCAAACCTTCGGAGCTTCGCTCGCCCTTCTCGGCTCGGCGCCAAACCCCCGCCCCCCCCGTGGCGCGCAGAGCGCACAGGGGGGTGGCGCCGGAGACAACGCCAGGGGGGCCCGGCGCAGCTCTCCGAGCGTCCTCCGTGTGTGCTCATGCCGCTTCCTCTTCCTCGGGCCACCGGCTGGGCCGCCCTGGACGCGTTCATGAAGAAGGGCCGCTCGCCAGCGCAGCTCGCCTCCTGCAGCACGGTCTCGACGGCGTCCACGCCCCTCTGCTTCAGCGACGCCTTGATCTGCGAGACGCCCAGGGCGCCGGCCGGCTGCTCGGGGGCCTCCTCCGGGGCACCGGGCCGCGGCGGCGAGCTTAGCGCCTCCAGCAGGCTGTGGGAGGTCCGCGGCCTGGTGCCGTGCATGATCGTCGAGGAGCAAAGCCAAGGCTGCACG